CTTCATAGACCAATTGCCAACCTCTCATGTTTTCAGAAGAGTGCATATTATGCAGGGATCAAAATTTTCAACAGTCTACCATCAAATCTCACAAGTCTTGTAAATAAAAAGGCACAATTTAAACTAGCATTGAAAAGATACTTAATTACACACTCCTTTTACTCTGTCGATGAATTTCTAATGTTTACAAGTAAGTCATAATTAATCTATTGTATATAATGGGTGGGTTTATTTGTAACTTATCTCTACTTTATGTGAACACTTTGTATTTGTGACATTTATATAATAGTATGACTTGTATTTGCATAACATGTATTGTATTATTATGACTTATTCTACATCCTATTGTCATCTGACTAACTTATGGATCCATGGAATGTAATAAAGATGTATGTATGTATGTATTAAAATCTTGTATAGATATGGTGTTAGCACGATATGTTGATACTCAAAAATGTACAAATTTTATAACATATTTCAGCTACCACAGACCCATCTTAAGCGTAACTAATTCAAGGTAGGCAGTACTGTCTTACTCAAACTTTAATCAATTGTAAAGCGTGTAGAAAGAAAATATTTAGAATAAAGCCACTATATAAACTCCTTACCGTATAGACGTATTTACGTCAAATTCTCCGGAACCGTGGTTCCACTGTAACTTTTTACTCCCAACATCATTCATTTGCAGAAAACCAAGCACATATTTTTCAAAATTGGGATCATGAGGTGTAACCTATTTCGAAGTTCCCGCGAACTTACACAAGTTACACAGAGCGTCAGAGTTAAAAAGAAGTGTAATCGTTGACATGCTGTCTCCTAGAACTCCACAGTACTAAATTTCCCGTTGCAAACAGAGTGGACCAACTGAGGAAGGGAGGAAAGTACAAGTAGACGTATAAACAAAAGAAAAACGGTACAGCAGAGCCCTCCGAAAGAAAAAGAAGGTATTGTTTCTGCTGCGGTCTCGACCGCAGGTCAGTGGATAAGGGCATTTCGAAGGAGTGTAGATTATGTCAGCACTTGCAATACCATGGTTCCTATGTTTGACTAAGAATGACGTTTTTGAACCGAGGTCAGGTATCCAAACAATTTGAAAAGCAGACTTGGGAACTATTCGATAATCGATCTTGCGTATCAACTCAACCTACAAAATTCAGTGTTCTACTTGCCAGTAGGATCCAGAAATTTCGTTGAAGTTGAACGTGGGCCAATAGAATTTAGCCAACTCGAAAAACGTTACCCAATCAGAACTCGAATCGTGCAAGTCCGCTTGTTAACTGGACCAATAACGTTCAGACACGACGTAATTCTGTGTAGATATTTCGACGGGTCTGATCGTATAATCTGCGAGTTGTAAGTTAGACTGGTACGAGAGAGCACGTAGTGATTTGGGTGTGAGTTAAGTGTAAGAAGTGTGACGTTACATCGGGAACTAATACAAAATATTTTTGGTAAGTTATTTTGCATTTAATACTGAATTCTGAACAGTATTGACCACATGCAAGCCGGCAAAGTCGACCATCGTTTAATGTTATTTTCTCTACCTCGTATGGTTGCAGTTCTTCAACAATTCACGTGAAACCGTCGTCATGCGATTAGGAATTTTATTGGGAGTGATTTGCCTGCTCGGGTCAGGTATCTGTGCAAAGGATGAAAAGAATAAGGATGTTGGAACTGTAATAGGAATTGACTTGGGAACGACATACTCTTGGTAAGTACCTATATACCCGTATTTTAGTTATGGTTTCCGAGCAGGGTCCGAATATTCTATACCGCTTATTCAAAATTTCATTACTGGGCATAATGTGAGCCACTTCCATCCACCTACGACCCAGTTTTCGTATTCAGTAATACTTTTTTCTTTGTGGATGGGGGGGGGGGGTTCTACAACATTGAACGTTAATACAATTTATGGATCCTGGGGACAAGCAAAACACAGGGTTTTGTGGGTTATGTTGGTGCACAATATTGATTATCCAATAATTCTTCAGGCCACTTTTCAAATTTTATGGATACCTGAACTCAGAGAAGTGTCAATTTCAGTCATGGTACATGGGTTTTGTTGAAAATTACCTCATTTCTAGCAGAATTGTGTCTACTGTTTGGATCCCAGCTCTAAAATGACATGAGTGTGGAAACTTATGTAAGTGGTGGCAAAGAGAAGGAAATTTTGTACTATTCAGAATAAAATTCTTTCCAAGTTCCCCCTCTCCTTTAGTATTTATCAGATATGGGAATGTAATTCACTGAGGACATACTGGATTCTCACCATGGAGGCATTGGTTCACTGATTAACATTCTTTTGTGTCCTCACTTCTGAGATAGCCATAATTTAATTTCTTTGTAACACAAATGAAACTGACAGGATAGTCATTCTGATATTGGAGGTAGTAAGTACATTTCAGTGGTGGCATGAGAACCTGAAATATCACACTTTTTTTCTGTTTACAGTGTTGGTGTCTATAAGAATGGTCGTGTGGAAATTATTGCAAATGATCAGGGAAATAGAATTACTCCTTCATATGTGGCATTCACACCTGAAGGTGAGAGGTTGATTGGAGATGCTGCCAAAAACCAACTTACAGCAAATCCAGAAAACACTGTGTTTGATGCCAAACGTCTTATTGGCAGAGACTGGTCAGATGTCACAGTTCAGCATGACATTAAATTCTTCCCTTTTAAGGTATTCTAAGACAACTGCAAATGTGTCATAGTATGGTACTGAATAATTGCTGTTTATCTACATAAATAGTTTTAACAGGACATCAAATATGTGGTTATCCTTTTGCTTATGATGAATGAAAAATTGTGGAAATATATGAAAAAAACTGCTTTTAACTAGTGAATTACATGTTCATTGCTCATTGTTTGCAGGTGAAAGAAAAGAACAGCAAACCTCACATTGAAGTTTCCACATCTCAAGGAGAAAAAATGTTTGCCCCAGAAGAAATCTCTGCCATGGTTCTTGGTAAAATGAAAGAAACAGCAGAAGCCTATTTGGGAAAGAAGGTAGTATCTAAATAGTTATTGGAAGAAATATGGCTTGCAATATTTGCCCCTCATATGTGTGTATTCTGAAATTTAAGGACTTTTAAAATGATTTAACTGTTTTGAAATCAAACAGCATATTTCTCGATCAAGATTTTGGGGGGAGACAGTGGCGTTGCTTGTAGTTGCTGATTTAATCTGCCTGTAAACAAGATTGTTAATATTTTCATGCTCATCATAACTGCTGTTGTTTCCAGAAAAAGTATATTTCCAGTTGTATGTATTACGAAATATTGTCTTTCCTTGCTTTTAGATACTGTAAGCATATTCAGTGGTTTGATGATGTAAAACATATTGAACATTGTGTCAGACATTGTTTTTATGTTCTTTCCGGGTTCTCATATAGAATTATACAAAATCTGTTGTTTATAAAATTTCTAATTCTGTTGGCATTTATTTTTCTTCCATGGATTGCAAAGTTTATGTTTCTGTAGGTGCGTGGTGCTTTATAAATTTGAATCCTCTTCTCTTGAGGCTAGTGGTTCAAAAATTGAATTTGCTGTTTTATGTTTAAAGTTGTGATTGTTGAACATTTTCAGGTAACTCATGCTGTGGTGACAGTACCTGCTTATTTCAATGATGCTCAGCGACAAGCAACTAAGGATGCTGGTACAATCTCTGGACTTGTAGTTATGAGAATCATTAATGAACCAACGGCTGCAGCCATTGCTTATGGTTTGGACAAGAGGGAAGGCGAAAAGAATGTTCTGGTGTTTGATTTGGGTGGTGGCACATTTGATGTCTCTCTTCTTACCATAGATAATGGAGTATTTGAGGTTAGTTTTCTAAAGGTTGTCACATTTTTCAGAATGGGACTAAAGTTTGCTAAAACAGACCCAAGGTTTCCCATTGTTGGGACACATTGTTGCACAGTGGGATCACAGTGTAAGAATGATGCAACTTAGAACAATGGCCTTGGATGACATTAGTGTAATAACCACCACTGTAATGTGGCATGAGCACTTGTGAACGTCAGTGTACTATAAAGAATACGCCTTTCCAGACGTGTTTTCTTTGGTGTTAGGATATGTTTTACTGATGTCTGTGGTTTTATTAATTAAAATTATGTTGTAAATGAGTTACAGCTCTTAAACTGAAATATGTTGATCACAGGTAATCAGTTTCAATATTAATTATGTAAAACTGTTCATAGTTAATGACCTGAATGCACATTGTTGTGTGTGTAAAAGACTAATAATCTTTTGTGCTGAAGTATAATAATAATTTTGTATAGATGAGTTAATGTATTAGAACATTCTTTTTTGGAAAGCTGATGAATAGTGCAGATATAGTTTAGTACTTGACTAGTAAAATTACACTCTTGCAGCTAAATATTTTGTTGTAACTTGAGTTTGGCTATCCGCTGTTAAGTCAATTTTTGATTTCTAATCAAGTAAATATGTGTAATGTATGACATTGAATAGGAGCTGTATTGAATGCTGTAAAGCAAAGTTGGGATGCATACTTTATTTATACTACTGATTTGTTTCAGGTGGTGTCTACAAATGGAGATACACATCTTGGTGGTGAGGACTTTGATCAGCGTGTGATGGATCACTTCATAAAGTTGTACAAGAAAAAGAAGGGCAAAGACATTCGTAAGGACAACCGTGCTGTTCAGAAGTTGCGTCGTGAAGTAGAGAAAGCAAAGAGAGCGCTCTCTGCCAGCCATCAGGTCCGAATTGAAATCGAAAGCTTCTTTGAGGGAGATGACTTCTCAGAAACTTTGACCAGGGCCAAATTTGAGGAATTGAACATGGTAAGTAGAAGATATTCAATTTGTGATTAAATACCCAGGCATGAATGACCAGAAGGTTGCTTAAGTGGCATTCTTTTGAATAGTTATTAGACACTTCACTGAGCCCATGAGGTTTTTATGACTGATTATGTTGATAGTGGTGCTCTGGGTTATAACACCATGTAATGTCGAAGGTGGTTCCTCTTTAACACTCGTAATCATCTACAAGACTGCGTGGTTTTTCAGCCTAGAAGACCATGATTCTTATGTAAGGGGTGTTCAGAAATTTGTCCATTCAAATAATATAATGGACTGTAATGGAATTAATTTACCATCAGTGGGAGCTGCTGCCAACTGGTGTCTGCAGAATCTGAACGTCATACTAAACTTTCATTGTACATTACGTTTCATAATGTTGTGAAGAAGTTTAAATTATTGTTTTTGAATTTATGCAGGACTTGTTCCGTTCAACGATGAAGCCAGTCCAGAAAGTGTTGGATGATGCTGACATGAATAAGAAAGATGTTGATGAAATTGTACTCGTTGGTGGCAGCACACGTATCCCTAAAGTGCAGCAACTTGTCAAGGAATTCTTTGGTGGAAAGGAACCATCCAGAGGAATAAACCCTGATGAAGCTGTTGCTTATGGAGCAGCTGTTCAGGCTGGTGTACTGTCTGGGGAGCAGGATACCGATGCCATCGTCTTGTTGGATGTCAATCCTTTGACTATGGGTATTGAGACTGTTGGTGGTGTCATGACAAAGTTGATTCCACGAAACACTGTTATTCCAACAAAGAAATCCCAGATCTTTTCAACAGCTTCTGATAATCAACACACTGTTACAATTCAGGTAGGCCTGTGCATTTTATATTCTGGTTAGGCGCTAATTTTAACTCTTAGGACTGGTAATTGCAATTGTCATGAGGGCAAATAAAATCAAGGAGTAATAGGTGGATGGACATACAGCATGTATGGAGGAGACATGTTATATAAACTAAAGGGATGGGATCATTTAGAAGACTGGGGTGTAAATGTTAGATAACATTAAAATTCATCTTAATCCATTCAGTTAATTGGTTTCTTAGGAAAGTGATTAATTTGTTAAAAAAATTTACCTTTACAGGTTTATGAAGGTGAGCGACCCATGACAAAGGATAATCATTTGCTTGGAAAGTTTGACTTGACAGGAATTCCTCCTGCACCCCGAGGTGTGCCTCAGATTGAAGTTACCTTTGAAATCGATGCCAATGGTATCCTACAGGTAGGTCATGTAATGAAGACTTTATACTTTAGGTAAATTTCAATAAATATTGATCAGATCTATAATTGTTTTAGGCACGCTTTCATTTACGCCAGTTTTTTATGATTTGATGTTTCCACAGGGACTGGTTTCATCCATTTTGGCTTTTTATATATATATATATCTTGCAGCTTAAACTTGCAGTTATGAAAATCCAGGACCAGTTCAACAATTTGTAGCACTTCAGAAGTGTGTGCTTCTCATTGTAAGCAGTACATACAAGATGATGATTAACCCCTTCAAATCAAAATGTAGAAGCCTCATACTAAGTGATGGTCTAAATTGGTCATTGTAGGTTTAAAAAAAACCCAAATATAGTTAGGAACTGCTGATATTAAGTTCAATGAAAATTCATTTTGAGTGATTCCCCATGGAGATGGACAGGAGCAGCATGCTTTCTTAAAATTTACCTCATCTGTTAGAAAATTAAAACATTAATTTTCTTGGATGGTTTCCTTCATATATCAAGGAATGTTTGTGTAGCATCAGGTGATAATATACAGCCTCAGTTAGGTGCATTGGGTAAAGCTAATCTCAATCTCCATGCCTATCTTCATCCAGTAGACCCAACAGATTAGTTTGTATACTTTCACTTTGCAACAGAAGTAGTCAGCTTCTGAAATGTTGTTTTCCAACTAATAGACAAAAGTAAATGTTTTATGACATGCTTTTGTTGAAAATCTGCCGACTTACCTGTTGACAGTTGCTGAATGAAAATACTACACTGCAGAATAAAATGCCTATGAAGTTGTATAAAAAAATTTCACCTGATGTTTAAATAAAATTATTTTGTACTGTAATTTGTCACAAGTGAATTGTATCTCTGGTGTTTATTTGAAGGTAAGAAGTAGGAATCTGATTTTACAGGTTTCTGCTGAGGATAAAGGTACAGGTAACAGGGAGAAAATTGTTATCACCAATGACCAGAATCGTCTTACTCCCGATGATATTGAACGGATGATCAAGGATGCCGAGAAGTTTGCTGATGATGATAAGAAGCTAAAAGAGCGTGTTGAAGCCCGTAATGAACTTGAGTCATATGCTTATTCCCTTAAGAACCAGTTGGCAGACAAGGAGAAACTTGGTGCAAAGGTTAGTTTCTTCTATCTTTAGGTTTTGAAGTTTGATATTGAAGGGAAACTAAAGGACTGTATATCCTTAAGGATGTTTTTATTTTCAGGTAAAGCCTTCACAGAAAATAAAAGAGAGATCTCACTGCAATTATTACAGCTTTGTCTTACATAGTATGAACTTGGTTTTCATTCTTGGAATACTTTCTCTCCCCCCCCCCCAAAAAAAAAAATTGTGTGTGTACAGATAGCTTTGATTATTATTACAAAATTTAAAGGGCTCTAAATTAGGAAAGAAGTGATGTTGCTTGGTTTGGTATAATTTATTACAAGCTGTACGGCAGGATGTGAGCAGTGGGAAATTGAAAATTTAGAAATGAATGCCACTTTAAAGCACTACTGAGGTAAAGTATGTTGTAATGGCATCTTATATTAATTGCAAACATTGAACATCAATATGCATATGAACTTCATCTTCTGATCTTGAAATACTTGTTTGATGGGAAAAAATTCATGCATTTTGGGATTGTAAGATTTGAGGTTTTCACAGTGGTGAGTATGAAGATTTCTGGGTTGTTGCGCTGTGTAGTCTGGTTGATGTTAACCAACGTTTCTGAGGTCATACTGCTTCTGTCATCAGGGTGATTCATCGCTTGATGACGGAGGCAGTATGACCTCTGAAATGTTGGTAATAATCTACCAGAAGACAGAAATCTTCATCTTGGGAATTTTTTACAGGAAACGTGTGCTTTGTAATGTTGTGTATTGTTTATTAGAATAAAATTGTTTCACAGGTGAGTGATTCTGACAAGACAAAGATGGAAGAGGCCATTGATGAAAAGATAAAGTGGCTGGAAGAGAACCAGGATGTGGACACAGAAGATTACAAAACACAGAAGAAAGAACTAGAGGACGTTGTTCAACCAATTATTGCCAAACTGTACCAGGGTGCAGGAGGGGCACCTCCACCAAGTAGTGCAGATGATGATGAGCTAAAGGATGAACTTTGAGAGTTATAAAACTAAACTGAACAGAAAAACAAATAGTGATGTACAGTGAACCTTTTTAAGAGGCTGTGCAAAGTGGACATGTCTCAACCCTTTGCTGGGTATAGAGGAGAACCCTGCCTATGGATAGGGCTTTAATATTCCACTGAAAATTAATAGTGATACAAAAGGAACTTGGCAGCGCCTGTTGGTATAAAATAAGTCTGACCAAATTAGATAAGTCATTTGGAAACAGTGAAGTTTGTATGGTCTTTATTTCGAGGTAAAATTTAACTGGTACTGCTTGCATTTAAAGAAATCTTTTCTTAAAAGTATTTTTACATTACTTGCATATCTGTAGTAGGTTTTGAACAGCTGTTGCTGCTAGGTCAACTGTCAGATTTGAAATTGTGTAACTAGCATGTTTGTGCTGTGTGAACTTTGTATTGAGTTAGTTTGCATGTCTCGTCCTTTCAAACCATTGTTACTGAATAGTTTCTTCATGAGTTCACAAATATTTTGAGAATGTAAGGGATTCCCCTACAGTTACACTGTACACATGTAGAATCTCGTTACACTGAAGTGACACTTATTTACCAGCAATTTTCAAACAGTATACTTACTCCAGTCTGCAAGTGTAGCCCCCCTTATTTCTTTGCAGACTCATTTTTTGGAATGATGTGTACAGAAAAACACTGCCATACAATACAAAATGTCCAATTAATTTTTGTAATTATGCCTGAAGTCTTCAGTGCTGTGTTCGTTTAACCAAGCATGAACACTGTTGTATTTTATTGCTGTCCGCATCCCTTACAGTATGCTCATGTGTAGACTGCGAAATTCATATACATACCACAGCAAAAACATACTATAGGAGATAATGAAAACAGTACTGCCCAGCATGGATAATGAAGTAAAGAATACGTGTTGGTTGGGGAGAGAAACAATTTCTTATTGACCTGCCAAAATAATAAATACCTACAGTATAAATTATGCATATGTGTGATTTGCTGGAGGTGATAAAATTTTATGGTGACTTTGATATTCTACCAGTAGCAATTTGTAGGAAGATTTTTGGATCAAGTACAGATCAGATTTCAAAATACACTGTCCTCTTCAAGAGTGATGTATTTGTTAAGGTCTTGCTGAGAGGTTATAGGAAACTGGCAGCAAACTGTGAATTTTCAATTACTATTCATAAAGGACAGGAAGAGTGTTTCACTATTATATTGTACTTAAAAGAATTTTCCTGAAGTAATTTTGTGTATTGTTTACTACCTTCAGGACTTTTATAGTGCATTATAATCTAACAAAAGATTGACATTAATGGAATGTGTTAGTAATTTACTAACACCATGGTAGTAAACCTGAAATGTCAGTTTTTGAAGTTGAATTGGGTTTTGGAAGTAAACTTTGCAGGGTTATTGTATCCAAGGGTGACTTGTGTCCATGATATTTGCTGACTGAATGTAAAATGCATATAATATCCACAGATGGTTTAAAATTGTATTATAGTGTATTTTGTGTTATACGTCCAGGCTGTTTCTGAATTTCTTTTGGTTGTTTGCTGTTTATTTATTCTCTTTCTGTGACCTGTTGCATTAACATGTTATATTGGGTAGTCTTATGTACTTTTGCCTGATAAAACCATGTTTGCCACAAGAATGACTGAGTAGGTGTACAAAATATGTGTGGATATGTTATTGAATTAAATGTTCATTTTCCAGAATTGTGATGTTTTTATTTATCCTAAAGATTATTTTTTTTAGTTTTAACTTAGTGAACTGCTGTTGAATGTTTGCATACAGAACAAGAACAGTGTTTTCAGAACTCTAATGCTCAAACCAGCAATCTTAATATTCCGAGACACTCATTTATTTCGTCATCTATGGTCAGCTTCACTGGCATGACCCCTTTCATTACACAGTAGGGCCCAGCTTTTCGGCGATCCGCTAATACGGCGCTTTTCAATTGCGTGCATATGCCCCACGCGCTCAACAGCTGAGTCTGAGAAGTGCGTCCGGCGCCATTTTATCGTCGCTGATTCTGTTTACAGCTACTACTGATATTCATTTTACTTTCATATCGTTTTTTTAGGCCTGGCGCTACTGTGCACTTAGGGCCACCGCACACGTAATACTTAACCGGAGGTTGACTGTTCTGTCGTCCGCTGAAGCATACGACCCATGAACGACACGACAGTTCAGTCCATGAGCATGCGCACACGTACGACTAAACAGTCGTTCTTTTGCTCTCTTTTGTTGCACATTCTTCTCTCTATGCTCGTCGAGTATAGTAGTTAGGAATGTTGCAAGAAGAGAATATCGAACAATTAATTGAAGAGGTCGAAAGACGCCCTACTCTTTATGACAAAAAATTAAGATATTATGCAAAGATCAATATTAAAAGAGAACTTTGACGAGAGATTTGTTCAGTTGTGGTACCAGGTTGGAGCGAATTGTCACCCGAAAATAAAGATAGAAATTCATCAAAACTTTGTGTAATCATGCGAAAATATGAAAAGAATTTTGCAGGATAATTCCGTAATATTTCATACATAGTATGGAATTTTCCTTTCAACAGTCTCTCACTGTATAATGGATGCACCCAGTAATTCCTTTTCCTCCTTTTCTTGAGGCGAATCACAAGTGCACAGTTTCAACAAAATCCATGTTTGACAATGGTCTACTGTCTGCAAATGCTCTTACGAAATGAAAGGCAGAACGACTGAAAGGTCGTTCGTCTGCGCGCTTTCATATAATTCGAAGGGCCAACGACAGTTGGAAGACAGAAAAATCCGGGGTTGTCGGTAGCGGTAACCGACTGCCAGTCGTGTCGTAACAGTGTGCGCATCTCTATATGTTCTTAAGGGCTTTGTGCGAACGACGAAACAGTCGTCTGACTGTTTGTCTTACGTGTGCGATAACCCTTACTATATGATAGTGTAAACATCTTATTAGGATTTGATATGCATTTGCAATTGAAAAAAGGCAAAGATCCGCTTTTCGACGGGGGTCTGGTCCCTAACCTGCCGTATATGCGGTGCCCTACTGTATATAAAACGGATTGTCACATTTTTATTGTTGTAGACTAAGCATGTAACTAGTGTAGAAGAAATTTAGCCCTGATATGAAATGTTTTCTTGGAAAGAAAGTATTTTCGCTTTTGTAAATTTGTCATAAAATTTAAACTGTTCTGCATAATTAACTAGATGGCTTACAGAACCCAAAGGTTCATCACTTTATACACCAATACCCTCCACCAGACCCTGTCCTGGGTCAGTGATGGGAGTCATGAGTGGTGGTGGAAGTGGGTAAAAAAGGCATTGTGCAAATCCAGCCTACTTATGCCTTTGTGTTTCTGATAACATGATTCACAGATGGAAAAACAATAGGTTTGGCGATCCTTCGCCAACGAATTGCACAGAATTTCGTATCTGAATATAGGTGGCCATGGGACCAAACGTCTGTGCCAACGAATCGAGTATCTGTATATAGGTGGCCATGGGATTATACTCGTCTATGCTACCGAGCACAGATAATTCCTACTTTTTGAGCTTCTGTTTCCGGTTGAGGATTCGCTTGGGAGCTCATTGTGAGTAGGTTGAAGGTTGGAGGGTATAATGTTTTAGAGTATCTAGCGATCGCGTTTGGAACATTAAGACCAAGTAGTGTATATTGAAGAATATGGCAGCGTAAATTAACGCTTATTGTATCTGTTGTATTTTTATTATGTTGTGAAGTTCTGTGTTTGTAATAATCACGTTTCTCTGCCAACAAGCTGTGCGAAGGCATAGTCACAGTTCAATGCATTCTACAGAATCCAGGGAGTTATCATCAGAAGAGCGTACAAAATTACAGTTACAGGATAGAAGGCTGGTCTCAGGTCACCAAGCAGAAAAATTAGAGTTGCATGCAAAGAGGTACTGGGATCTCTTCTACAAAAGAAATGAAAGGAGATTTTTTAAGGATCGACACTGGACAGCGAGGGAGTTTAAAGAACTGTGCAATGACTCTGAAAATTCGTATATGCCAAAGGTGATGTTGGAAGTTGGTTGTGGTGTTGGAAATCTCATATTTCCTCTTATTGAAGAAGTAAAAATGTTCGTGTATGCTTGTGATTTGTCTCCAAGAGCAATCGAATTTGTGAAATCACATCCATCCTACAATGAAAATACAATTAAAGCCTTCCAGTGTGACATTACAACTGATGATATATCGAAAGAGATAGAGCTTGAATCCATAGATATAGTTACATTGATATTCGTTCTATCTGCTATTCACCCAAACAAATTTCATCAGACATTACTGAAAGTGTTTACTGTTTTGAAACCTGGTGGTATAGTTCTTTTTCGTGACTATGGGCTGTACGATATGGCTCAACTACGGTTTAAGGCTGGCCACAAAATATCAGACAATTTCTATATGAGGCAGGATGGTACAAGGTTAATATATTTTACATATTTTAAACATTTATTATCAAAGTGTTTTGCATTTTGTAGGTTCCACATTTTCAGGTCATGGAAGCCTAAAGCAACTGAGTTTTGCATGTTGTGCATGTTATCTCAAGTATTCTTTATACAATGTGACAATGATTTTAAAATATCTTGTCACTAAGAAGATACATGTTGAAATCAGTCACTGGTAATTCAGAAAGCTTGATGAAATCTTACAATCTTCCTATACGTGTGTGAAACACTAAAGACTGTATAGACTTTTTTCAGAAATGTTTGCATTCTACACAACAGTAATGGGAGTTCGATGTTTGTAACACAGTGTTAATGGGTATGAGCAAGTATGCTGCTGGCTGTTTTTTCTGGAATTTAACATGATTTTATTTTTAGAAATTTCTTTGTTCTTGCAGATCGCAACATCCTAGTTGGTATTATGATTTTTACCTTCAAACATGCTATTGCCTTTCTAGAGTTCTCTCATCTTCTCATGTACACTCTTAATATTGACATTTGGGATAAGGTTTTTGTGCTAAATTGTACAGGTTAAATTATAAATTTTCGTATCTTCATGAAAGACTGAATGTATTGCCTCAGATTTCTGTTAAGATTAGATTCTTGTTTCTATTTGTAATTCAATATTTACTGCGTGCTTGACTTTTAAACTGTGATGTACCTGGGGAAATACATGTTGCAACACATGAGTAAGTTCGTTATAAACATTTGCTGCACTATACTTGTGTAACCCTTGTGTTGTTGTAATCTTGTATTACATAAAGATGTTTTCTGTACTCTTAACACCATTCAGAGTATGTTTTCTGCCAGTTTTGTGATGATAGCACATTTTAGTGGTGTTTCTCTATTAATTGCATTTATTAGTGACAGTATCATGAATGCAGAATTAGTGAGCAGAAAGGGAGATGGTTTGGTTACTGCTGTTATAGGGCATTTCTTTGACTGCTGGAAACAGAAAATTACAAGGCCTGTGTATGCATTAGCATCATACACATTGAAGTAAAAACTGAAATTGATAATACATTTTTCAAGAAAGAATGATTAGTTTATGGTTCTGTGTTTGTTTCAGGAGTTATTATTTCTCCAGTGAACTTTTGGGAAATTTGTTTGTAGAAGCAGGATTTGAAATTATCAGCAATACATACATTCATCGTAGAACTATCAATAAAAAGGAAGATTTGAATGTTCCAAGAATCTTTGTACAAGGAAAATTTCAGAAACCTTCATGAATATGAGAGTGAAATTCAACAAAACTCTACAAATTGAAAGGTAAACCCCAGTATGTCACAAACAAATAATTTAGTGTGAGATGTTCAGTAAAAGAGTAATCATATGCAATTACAATGTTTTACAACAAATGTAGACCTTGACCAATTGACATTTGCAGTTTGAGACACAGTTGCATTTGTTGTCTGCAGGCATGCTTGTGCACGTTACAGGCATTGTCCACCGTAAATGGCTATTTTTGTATTTTGGTTTTGTTTTATTGGGGGTTATCTGCTGGATGCCCAATGGAGTTTCCAATTAGAGGACATGTGGAGAAATTGTAGAAGTTTTAATAGAGTGGTTCTACACAGGTGTTGGAAGAGGGCCCAGATGAATATCAAGATAGGATATACTATCATATTAGTACTGAATATGATAAGTACTACACGTAGGTCATAATAAGCCATTTTTATGTTGCACTTTCACTGCATCACCTTATAATCAGCACTTCACAAGTTGTATACAAAATGTACAGCTGGTACATTTGATGCATTATTTGAGAGAAGCCATATTTATTGTTGGTGGTGATTAATTTGTGTTGTTTTAAATGAAAATATGTAAGTAGTTCTTTTGCTTTAACTTGAGTTTTGTCATATTTAGAATGGTACTGTCACTATGCACATGATGATGATAATGATATACACTGAATCCATGATACAGTATTAGCTCTATCTGACAGTGTGCATTTTTCCATGAAGTGATTACATTTTATTGTGTAAAATTTATAGAAAGAAACTGGTCAGTATTTTAGGAATGTCATCACTAATGTTTTTATTTTGTAAGGATGCTTGTGCATAACAGAGTCTAAAATGGTGTCTTGTGCTGACCAAAATTTTATTTTATAGGTTGTTTTTTTTGCCACTACCTCACCTGTTTTGATTTTAGTTGTGTACTAGTGACATTTAGACCAGTCTGTAATAAGCTTTAACAGAGATGATTCTATGGGTACTAATTTTTTGTGGTGACATGGTTTTCATCCTAGGTAGAGATGATGATGTTCACTATCAACTTTGTTTTATTAGTGAACATGAAAGTGGTCACACATTTTGTGAATTGAACTCTGCAAAAGAATGTATTATTCAGATATCATGGATCTTCTCTTATTTGGCAAACATCTAACATTTTGGCAGTGAAGTGTAAGTATGGTATCAAGTAATATTTCTTAAAATATATCAAACAGTTAAAAATGTGGTTTCCATGGGTAGCTTGCTTAACTTTGGTTACAATGTCATAGAAAAATTTGAATTTTGCATCTCACAGCTGTGAAATTCCTCAGAAATTCTATTGAAATTACTAGGTAGAATATAGAATTTCTGTTAAAGTGGATGTAATGATGACATTATAGTTCAAATGACTGCTGTGATATCTAACTACGTCTTTCGCTCCTATCTGATGGCATCCCTGTCAGATGTGTGTTAAATGCAAACAGTTTGTAAGAATTCTGTTCCTTGACTTTAATAAATATTTTCCAGGATCTGAGAGAAGTCCTATGGTACAAGCTGTGAACAGCAACAAAGTAAGTGTTCCTCCTGCACTGCATTTTCAAATTTGTTAATGAAAGTGTAATGAACTTATTAGGTAGATTGTGTGTTAAAGTGGATGTAGTGATGACATTATAGTTCAAATGATTACTGTGATATCTAACCATATCTTTCGCCCCTATCTGATGGCATCCTTATCAGATGTGTGTTAAATGCAAACAGTTTGTAAGAATTCCATGCCTTGACTTTAATATATATTTTCCAGGATCTGAGAGAAGTCCTATGGTACAAGCTGTGAACAGCAACAAAGTAAGTGTTCCTCCTACACTGCATTTTCAGAGTTGTTAATGAAAGTATAATGAAATTATTAGGTAGAGTGTGTGTTAAAGTGGATGTAGTGATGACATTATAGTTCAAATGATTACTGTGATATCTAACCATATCTTTCGCCCCTATCTGATGGCATCCTTATCAGATGTGTGTTAAATGCAAACAGTTTGTAAGAATTCCATGCCTTGACTTTAATATATATTTTCCAGGATCTGAGAGAAATGTATTGTACACGCTGTGAACAACAATGAAGTAGATGTTTCTCCTGCACTGCATTTTCAGATTTGTCAATGAAAGTGTAATATATCTTTTTGCATTAGTCTAGTAAAAGCAAAGTATTACACACATTAATGGAAAGGTATGCTATAGGAAAGTGCTTTATGGTCATAATAAATTACTTCGAATTACCTTTAAGGGATGTCTTCTGTTGAAATCTTAATAGTATGTAACAGTTTCACCTTTCAGCAATTTTTAGACTCGGAAAGAAAACGTAAGGTCCACTTTTTGGCTACTGTTCAAGCTATAAAGCACATAAAATTTAGTGTAGTCTGGTTCCTACTATGTATCCATTGATAGTTTAGGAAGTTATAATTATATTAATCATAAATCTGTCACCACTTACAAAGTTTAATGAGGTGTAATTCTGTTATGGAGCTGGATTGTACTTTGTTTTATTTGTAGATTTTGAAAATGCACGCTACCACTACACCGCGTGATGGAACTAGTTGATTTAAAGAGACTATGATGTGACGTTAAAGGATAGCATGTGTTACTCTTTATTTATATAAGTGTTTGCAGTATTCTGTGTTGCTGTAAATATCAGTTTTGGAACTTGGGATCAGATTTTTAAAACCTTTTTTTATTATATGAAGGAAAACAACAAAACTTTTCACTGATAATTTTCTGATGTATCTGTAATAATGCCACTCTTTTATGTCTTCTTAATTGTTTAATGAACTTTCTATATATAATTTATGTTTTTTGTGATTATAATGTTTGTACAATGTTCTTTGCCTACAAATGAGTTTTATATACATATAATTTCCTTTGTCATTTATCTTTTATCTACACCCATTCTAGTTGTTTATGAATAGTATAAAATACAAACGTTATTCATGACAGAATAATTATTAAAATAAAACATACATGATGGCACATGTTAGTATTAGTAATAATATCTCATATGTGGATGTGTGCCTGCAGTTTTTGTGAAACCAGTGTTTGATAACTGCCAACTGTACTCATCTTATTTGTAATTTAAATATTAATGGTTGTACAGTATTATTCTGTAATGAAGAATAAAAATCTTTGGACTTCTGCTGAATATAAATATATCTTCAACCTTTGTCATAAATGCAATTTGTCTGGTGGTTGACTTTGCCATGTATTGTGTTACTATACCTTGAAACTTATATCCCCTTGTTGGTCTGGCTAGCACCCTTTTAGTAGCAGATTTGGAATTCCCAGTCCCATACAGGAGTTTGAATTTGAGAAAATTGAAATTGCTCTTAATGGGAAAAGGAAAATACACAGATAAGATCATGTTGCAATTTGCCCAGATTTTTTGAAATGAACTATTGATATTCTGTTCTGTATGCCTCAGTACTAAAGGTTAGTGGAAGTACCTTCCAGTATCTTCATCCTTTGTGAAGATTTGATTATCAGAATTTAAGAATGTTAAACATTACATACTTCTGAAAAGGTGGTAGGAACTGAAATGGAAGATTTTTAATGAGCTACATGGCACTGCAACCCAGAGGGTAGCCATCCTTGTTGAATGCTCACAGTATTTTGTATTGCTTCCAGATTCTGGATGTTTGAATCAAAGTGGAGCCTGTTGAGTTCTATGTGGTTTTGTTATGTGTAAGGTGATGCTTGGAATTCAAGAGTGTCAAGCAAGGAAACATTGTAGTTCCAGTCTGTTCATTCCTCATGTTTTTGTTGCAGGCTATTTGTATTTTGAGTCCTTTAGATCAGGAGAATTTATAATGCAAACCTGAGCTTCCCTGAAATTATGAGAAGTTGATGCCCCTGTTTGGCACCATGTAGTTGACATCTGATTATATTGTTAACATGACTTTATTTCTGTTTAATTATAATTGCAGTCAGTCATTTTAGTGATGTTTGGTATCACTACATCCAGCCTACATTCGTTACAAGTTTTCAGTGCTGCAATTTTGTATTGTGTTATACAAATTCTTAGTCTGCAGATTATTGCCATTTAATAATATTAATTTTATGACTTTTATGGTTTATTCTGCTATAAAATGTTTTAAAGGAACAATGTTGCTGGGGAACCTTCATGAAAGTGAAGTGGGAATTTCGAAACACAGCATACACTTTACCCTGAAGGCGGAGTAAGTTCCTCTCCAAGATCAGGTTTCCAAAATTAATAAGAATAATGTTGTGTTGGTAATATATAGGTTGTGGAAGTGGTGAGTAATATTGAAAGAACGAGATTAGGTAATTTACCGACTGTTTCACGACTCGCTTCGTGTTTATTCATAAATCGTTCATAGGTGGCAGCTCAGTACAGTACGCACGGTACAATGTCCAAATCTGTTGGTCTGTCGATTATCAATGTGAATCTGTCATTACGCTGTAAGGATGTGTAAATGTAGACTACAAGAGGAGGTTATGGAAGAGTAATGAAAAAGGCAGAGTGCTATTTCAGACTTAAGAATGGAAGTTGGGAAAGTAGTAAATCATGAGAATGACAAGTTTGGATCCCTTGTATTATCGACATGGTTGGGAAACTTTTCTGTAAACGTACAAGAGAATCAGGTAGATTTATTTGCGCTACAAAGTAAAGAATCGAGTTGTTATTAAATATTTCGTGAATACGAGAGTTAATATATGTTTATATTTTATTGTCATTTGTCTTGTGAATCATTATTTGAATTACTGACGTAAATAGAGGAGATTGATTGCCCGTGGTACTTGATCAGTTATATGTGATATGTATATATATATACTAACATGTTTATTTACAGGGCATATACTTGATTATAGTTTGTTTGTTCTTGACTGTCATCGTTGGTTGTGCAATGATGCTTGCTCGAAAGTGGAAGAACAAAGGTTAGTCTTATACAGGATGATTCGATTTTTGACTTATACATTTCAAATTCCAGCATGTGAAAAGGACACGAATTAGAAAGCTAAGGATTTGGGGATCCATGTTTATATGAACTAATATTATTGTTTATGGATGTAGAACTTATTCAAATTTGTGCATCTGATGTAGGATTTGAGATTTTCACGGCGGTGAATCTGAAGATTGCTGTCTTGTGTGTTGTTGCGCCGTATAGTGTGGTAGACATGACCCCTGAAACGTTGGTGGACATCTACCAGACTACACAGCGCAACAACCCAGAAGACAGCAACGTGCAGCAACTAATTCTGAATCACCCTGTGTGCGCGCGCGCGCGCGTGTATATATATATATATATTTAGTGTGGACCTTCTCATAAGTTCACTGTAAAAAAACTTTTTCTGGAGTGAAATTTGGAAGTACATTGAGTTTTTTAGAGCATTGTAGTGAAACCCATTTCCTTTTAGCAAGTTATTATGTATAGGTTATTTTAATAGTGGGTTTTAGATATTGACACTGAATCACTAAATGAACAATGTATCCCCACATGAGATGAAAAGATTACACCAGTTTTAAAGCAGCCATGATTTTTTATTAATTGAATTGGTATGGTAACACATGTCCATTGCATGTTAGGGAATTTAGAATTTCTCAGAAAGTCTGCAGTAGGAATTATGTTCATTTTTTCTCTCAAGTACCATTCTGCCAGTTTGACCTTACTGTTTCAGCCCTCAGTGTTTTTTGGGCATCTTTTCTTCGTGGTTTTGTCTTTTTGAGCCTGGGGGTTGGGTGCATGGTTTGGTTCTGCCTCATGGACAGATGCTTTGTAACATAGTGTGAAAATAAAAAAAACTAATAATATCAATAATAATGATCTCTGTATTTTCTTTAGTCTGCAGGAATGTAGTACATATGCCCACATAATTAAAACTTTTTCAAAATAAGTTTACAATATTGTAGCACATAAGTAATGTATTTGCTTGTAAGTTGGGATGTGTGCCCATGTTTTATACTTTTGATATTTATTTTTGTAGAATTCTTGCCAGAAGTAAAAGAATTTGTCGGTGTTGGATCAACAAGACCTCGTTTTAGAAAAAGGGACAAAGTGCTGTTTTATGGTCGCAAGATGCTGCGGAAGGTATGTATACTTGTTTCTGAAAGACATGTATAATTATGGGCAAACTATTTGATGTTTGTCTCAAACTTTAGGAATGTAACAATTGGCACACTAACTTAATTGTCTTGAGAACTTATGTTTTAGGTGAAATCAATATCAGTCCAAGTTCATGGAGGTCAAGGCAAGAAACGTAAAATAATGATGAGATTTGCTAGAAGATTGCTGCAAATTAAAAAGGATTCAACTCCTGTACAACTTACGGTGAGATATTCGTGTTGGCAAGTGACCTTATGTATTACAAACACTGAAAGTGTTTTGTGGAGTCATACAAATACTAAAAGCATTTAAGTGTTATTTACCAGGTGTCATCAACATTTAAATTCAGCCAAAGTGAAAGAAATTTTGAGCATTAAGTAGTCCACAAGTATGTATTTTGTGCATTTGTCAGTGCTTTCAGTCTGTAAGGTATGTTTAGTGCTACTATGTCTCTGTCATCATGAATAAAGCTCGCCCAAAAATAGTTCTCAAGATTGGTAGTATGCTAGCAATTCACGCTGTGCAGCATTCCTTCATGTATCAGCTGGCCACTTTCTTGCAGTACACACTAAAACACATATTTTTTAAATTAATGTAACATCTAACCTGCTGGTATATTTTGTTTAGGTTTTTTGTTCAAGTTATTGAGTTTCTTTTGTCCAAGATTCCCAACATATAATCTTAGAGCCATCAGCCAGTGACTTTTACTAAGAACTGTGCAAACTACAAACTTTCAAATCTGGCACAATGCACAGAGCAATTTCCTGTATTTCAACTTGCTAGTTTGTCAGCCACAGAGACATTAAACTGCTCTTCTGCCATGAATATGCTAAAGGAAGAAACATGTATAAAGAAACACTGTGTCTGGCAGAAGTATCTAGTTTCTTATGTACCTTCATGTGGCAAGTGTGATATCAGTGGGTTTATGATATTTTTAGTCTGTCGCCTGCCAAAGCTTTTGAGATTGAGGTATTAGTGTAACAAACAAAGTCAGTTAGTTGTTTCAATACTAAATTTGAGTTGCCTACTTATACATTTTTTAAGCAGTTAACATTTGTGCTTGATTATATTTCAGGTGTTGGAACCCCCAGCAGAATACTTAGAGGAAGATATCACAAGTAAAGATGATCAGAGGGTTCCTCCTGATGCCCTTTACATGCTTCAGAGCATCAGGTATCATTCTGATTACTTTGTAATTTTCTCAATGGCATGTTAGTGTTCACTTGTCAGAGGGGAGAGAATTTATGTTCTGTTAATTGAGGATAATGGACTCTGTAGAATGGTTGTGGGGAGTTAAAGAACTGTACCTTAAATGAGATTTTGGGTTTTTATGATGGCAAGTATGAAGATGGCCGTCTTTTGGGATTGGGATTATTACACCGTGTGGTTTGGTAGAAATTTATTGATGTTTCACAGATGCTTACTGCCTCCATCACCAGGACAATAAATACTGATTATCCTGATGATGATGGCAGTAAGAACTTGTGTAATGTTATTAAACATCTACCAGACTAAACAGTACAACATCCCAGAAGATGGTCATCTTCATATTGCTTAAATGTTAGAGCTATTTTTATTCTTCTGGTGAGAATCATTTTGTTGTTGGTATTTGGTTATTTTGTAATTCTGAAACACTTCTAGGATTATTTAGCATCTTGCAGAGTATGGAAGTGTAATTGGGTGAAATGTAAAGTGAAGTGGTCATGGCCTAATTTAACACCTCACATATGGGAAAGATAAGAATTAATTATTTTTGTTCTGTACATTTGTGACAAGGCCTGTAGTTTGATGTTTTATTTTTCAGTATTGTCCAGACGTGTGTGCTGATCTAGCTCACTTGTTGACTCAAGGTTTTTAGCAGCTTTAGTCATGATATGTATGTCTCCAAGTAACAAACATGAATCCTTCCTGACTCCATTTACCTATCCAAAATAACTGTACAAAATAAAATTACTTCTGATTTAGTTGTGTTTTGTTTTGTTTTGTTTACATGTATTAGTTAGGTTGATGTTTAACGTGGCCTGACATAAGAGTATTGAGAGTATAAATATGCTTTATGTTATATGCAGATTTGTTTTGTGATGAAATAAGTTTTACAGAGAGTTCACTGTGTTGTATCCACATGTTCAGGTAAATGATTTCATCCTTGACCTGTAATTTTTAAGTTTGAAGAGAACATTTTTGTATCAGGGATTCTTTTAAGACGTTTACTGTGATCCATGTAGTGTGATATATTATTGGTGTGGATGAAAATGGTATCACTGTGTTTTGAAGGATTGAGGAGATTTTATGGCATAGTACTACTAGACACTTTGTTGTTTAAGCTGTTACATACTAGTGTGTCTGATTCAGAAATAACTGTCATGCTAAAGAAATGCCACAATTCTGCAAAATTCATGCATGGGCTCCAAAGAGATGAGTAATAATGCCATCTCTAAATTTGCTGAAAGGGCTTGATATTTTGAGGATTGAATGAATAAATGGCTATTAAGAATAACTGTGATAGGTGCCATATCTGTAATGAAGTGAAAATGGCAATTCTGTATTTCTTATACCAATGTGGCAATGATCTTGGAAGGGGAATGGGCTCAGCTCATGGTGGATTTTACACATTGATATGTGTGGTGGTTACACAATAAATTTATTTCTCAGTGTCTGTGTTTTTAGTGAATCAGTTGTGCAGGCCTTCTTATCTCCTTGAATCTACATGCATTTATCAAGTTATATTCTTTGAAGGTTTTGATAAGACAATTAATATATTAATTCTTTTGAAGTTTTATTTTCAGAGTGTTTGGACATTTTGAGAAACCAGTGTTCCTGAAACTCTGCAAACATACAGAAATAATTAATCTACCTGCGGGATCCTATCTTTTTAAAATCGGTTAGTTAGAAAAAAGTTATTATTTGTTTATTTATGATATAATGAAATATTAGTTATTAATGTAGTTCTGTTGAGTCATAAAATGCAGTCTTTAAATTAGGTGCATTTTCATTATATATAAAAATATGTAAATAAATGTTGTGTTTATTCTTTACTCTTTGGGCAATTGCTGGCTGTTCTTGTTCAGCTGCAGTATGGAGTACACCTTTATGTTTTTGATGTATTATAGTTGTATCAGAATGAAAGTGTGGTATATTCTAATACCTTTTTATTTTTAGGTGATCCTGATGAAAATGTGTATGTGATTCAGAATGGTAAAGTGAACGTGTTTATTACTGGATCAGATGGTACTGCAATTTCTTTGAAATGTGTGAAAACAGGTGAATCAGTCACATCACTTCTTAGCTTCACAGATGTGCTCACAGTAAGTGAAAGTGACAAGAATAAAGTATTTCTTAAGATGTGTAAGAACACACCTTCCAGTATGTTTGAACAGAACATTCCATAATTATATATTTACTTCATTTGCATAATGTGTGTTAGCATGTTCTGTGTTATTTTGTTCACTGCTTTGCTAAAAGAATGTAATTTTAACTCATTATGAGCATCAGGTTATTGTATACATATGTGAGTAAAAATCACTCCATAAATTACCAACATACCAATCAAGTGCTCACTATTATATTTACACAACATGCTTTTTCAATCCTATAACCTCTTAAAATTGTGGAACTTTGCTGCTATTTTCAAAGTCACGTTAAGTAATGAAATGTCCAATAGCATCCCAAGTCTGTGACACTATTACTGACAACTTCAAATTGTTTACACTACATGGTGGTATCAAGCATACCAACAAAAATGTGATTTTCTAGTCCAGGGAATAGAATTGGATGTCATAGTAAAAGGAGAAAATTATTATTTTATGTGGAATATAGTAATATGTTGCAGAATATTGTAGTGCATGGACATTCTATGAAAGTTGAATTTAACAGCATAAGGATTAATAAACTGCTGTGTTAAGTGGTACTGTACTAAGTGAAACATGTTTTCCCATTATTATAAACCAGAATGCTTTCAGAGGAAAAAAAATAGGTTTTAAAACTTAATGCTCTACTTGGTTTTAAACTGCCCCTATGGAACACATCTAGGTGTAGTTCTTATAATCATTTATTTTGTAATAATTTAATATTTTATGAATTTTTCAAATTTTATCTTTTTATCTTAGTATTTGTGTGCCATGTAATGATGTTTGTATAACAACCTAAACTTGTGGCTTTTCTGAGCCATGCAGTACTGTTAATTAATAATTATTGTTGTGTAAGTGGCCATACATACTTTATTATTATTGCACAACAGGATGATTTATTTTAAGGTAATAGAAATAATGCTGGGTCATGTGCATGCTTCCAGTCTTCTCCACCATTGTTCCCACTTCTTGTAGTCTCTATCTTTGTATTGTATTGTGCATGTTGCATACTGTACTAAGAGCTTTAGCCATTTTTATAATTTTTGTCCTTCATGATGACTTCAAACACTTATCACCATAATAAACAGATACTTCCATCAGTATTTAGCTTCCTTCACTATTGTTTGTATGAATATGTTATCTCAGGTTACTCTGTTTCTAATTATATACTTCAAATTAATTGGAAATTGTTACTTAAAAAGTGACTTTCAAGGAACTGTCTCCTATAAAAAATGAGAAGTTATTGTATAATGTTTCCTTTGTCTTCCTTCAGTAATTAAGTGAAAACTGAATTTATTATTGTAGGGGCATACCAATCCATACAAAACTGTGTCTGCTCGAGCTGTGGAGGACTCAACAGTGGTTCGACTTCCCATGGCAGCATTCCAAGATGTTTTTCAAGAATACCCGGATATTTTTATCAGAGTGGTTCAAGTCATTATGGTCCGATTGCAAAGGGTGACATTTACAGCACTTCATCAGTATCTGGGACTCTCTACAGAGCTTATGAATCCTGTGAGTATGCACACAGATTATTCACTATTCTTTAATTGCTTAACTTGTTTCTCTTCTTTGATGATGCTACATTTTTCTCATCCAGTACATGTAATTTTCTTCACTTTATATTTTGCTTTTCTTTCTGTTTGCTGTCTTTGTTCAGCCATGAGACATCCTTAAAAGAGGTTTGGCTAAAATTTCCCCTATGCTTTATAGTCCACTGGTGGCCCAAGAGTTGCATGTATAGTATCTGCAAGTGCTGATTAGTGATGTCGTAAGTAACAAGTGTTTTTGTGGGAGCATTTAGTTATCCATGTAGGCCACTGTCCAGCCACTCCTGCTCATGTCCTAAAATTAAAAGATGGGAACATATGAGCTGTTTCTTCCGAAGAATATGACTGCACTGATCCAGCTCATCAGAACATGCAGATCAAGGAATTGTTTTAGCCTGTGGGGGATACGTGTTGCTTTTGTTGTAAACTCAATTAAAAGTTACAGAATGTCTTAAAACATTAATGATGGAAGGTGTCATGTACATTGTCAGCTGATCATTTCATTTGACAGCTGGTGGAAAAAATGTGTTGGAAGTGGTGACTTAACTGAAGATGATATGAAGTTTTTTCATAAAAAGGAATGAAAGTTTCACTTAATGTACTCGGAAATAGTTTAGGATGGATTGTTGTGGTCGCCTGGACTGAGGCTCATGTTGAAGCTGTGATTGTGGAGGACCACAGTCAGTGAGGAGGCATGAAGTGTAATAAAATGTACACTAATTTTTATGAGTAATACACAAATAAAATTAAAGTGTGATGTGCATCTTAAATTGTTTATGTATTCTAGGCAATATGTGCTCCTATACTGTAACTATAAAAAAAGGAAACAGAGACTCCAAAATTAGAAAAAATATGTTAATTTCACTTATAATGCAAGTAGTCTATAACATGGGTGTTGAAGCTGTCCACTTAACTACTGTAGTATATTGAGGTTCTACTCTTGTTATATAATGCCATTAAATTTCCTGTGTCTAGGTTGATCAGATATGTAAAATTTATGTGCACGTTTTCAGGGCACTCAGCGAAATAAAAAGCAGAGTCCATTTGCTGGGTCTCCTGTGAGATCCAGACCAAGAGATATCATACCAAAAGAAGACAGCAACATTCCCATAGGTAGAAATATAACATTTTTATTAAAAGCAAAATGTCAACTATTTGTGCTTTTGGTATACATAATAGTGTCCTTTAAGTTTAATTGTGGTATCCAGTTAATATGTCGGGTAAGTATTTGGTGACAGTATATAAGAAAGGCCAGTTGGTCTAGTACTATCCATTCTTTGGTCACTGTGCGATATGAGATTTCATTATGAAATGGATTGTGAAAGTGTTTTATAAATAATGTAACCACAGCCATTTAGATGTAATTTTTAAAGTTAACTAATATAATCAATTCTGTCTAACATCTGCCAAATGCTATCCATTTTTGAGATCAGGAGGTATTTAAAATTACAGATGAAAAATTTAGTGGACATTGTCATTCAAGAAAAGAGATCATTTGTAATCTCTGATGGGTGCTTTGATACATAATGTGCAAAAAATTGTTCAGCTTTCCAGTATTTCTCAACATAGTTATCTTTTTATGATTTTAGTTTTTCTCTCTTCATGAATGTTGATGCAGTGGAATACAAAAAAGGAAAATAAAAGTGAAATTGCCCCCCCCCACTGAATCTTGGTAGTATCTTGATAAGGATGAAAGAGTACAGAATACTGCCATGAAAGCCTATATTTTAGTATTATTAATGCAACTTTATTATTATATATAAATAAAAGCACAGATGAAGAACAGTACATAGATGTATTTAATAGTAATAATTTAGAGAACATAAAATAACTATCAGTATTGGTGTGTATATTGCAGCTGCATGCGAAGACTTGGTGTCTGGAGCTTCGCCTTCAGACCATGTTGATTTTGTGCCTTCAGTGTCCAATATGCATCATTCTTTCCATTCATTATATCGTGGTAGAGCAAAATCTCTCTTGGATATGAAATTCGTACAACCACAGTCCCATCCACAACCAGACATGCTTCCAGAATTTGATCATCAACAGCAAACCCCACCTCAGGTTTGTTATTCTTTGCAGTATTGAGTTCTCTTTGAAGAAAATTACATGGTTTGGCCTGTCATAACTTGTACTATTTAGTAATATTATTAGAGTTATCACATAAAGGAAAATGAGATGAGTGGAACACAAATCCCACATCTTGTACCTGAGAAATGCATATGAAATATTAAAAACACTCCAGGGAAATTGCCACTAATGGGACGTAGGTTAGATAGGAGAGTAATATTTAAATGATCTTAGAAAAACAGGATGTGAGGGTATGTATTCAACTGGCTTTAAACAAGTTCCAGTGTCAGGTTTATGTGGTAACAGTAATGTGCCTTTACATTCCATGAAACAGGAAACTGGTTTGCCAGCTGAGTGACTATTGACTTTTTAAGAAAGACTGCTTCATGGAGTTTTTCTTCAGTGCCCATTTTTATGTATGTAACCATAGATGTTACCTTACAGTCATGGATTTATTTTATGTGTCAGATTTGGTGTTCTGTACTTTTATACATTGTCATCAGACTTATGTTAAATTTATTTTTGTGCAGTGCTGTTATGTTTGAATCAGCAGTCTTCTTCATTTTCTTCCTCCTCTTGTGCTTAGCATGTTATTTTTTGGTAGAAAGCTGGTGGAAAGTAGGTGACTTCATTATTAACAACTTTCTTAGGAGTATTAACAGTTTGCCTTTACTCTAGCCATGTCTTTTGCAACCTTTGCAAGTTTTTAAACTAACTGCCTCAGTAGAGAACAGAATGATTGAATTAGTTATGGAAAAGAAGGAATCTGGATCCTTGGGTAAGGGGGTTTATAAATTGAGAGTTTCCTCATCAAGAACAGATCCAGTAATTGAAAATATGCCTTTTCCAGGTGAAATACCTACAAAACTTAAACATATATGTCAAACTGTAATTGAGAAACTGGACGTTAGGTAAATGGAAAAAGTTGTTGAGCCAGATGGCAAATTTTAAAGTTATTGCATCTCTGCCTTGCACAGTACAATTTGTGGAAATTGTAATGAGTACTGGTTACAGTAATAGTGTGAATCCAGATGGTGAAGGTACTTTTAATCGATCTGCAACATATCACTGAAAGTTAAACCATAAATTGGGAAGGGTCTAATTTTAATTTAGATATGCATCAAAATATAAAGGGACAAGGATTCCTATGAATTTGCTTTACACCTGAAGAATATTTAAGTAGCAGTACTCATGTAATAAGGAAGGAAAGACTAGAAGAACAACATAAAAGAGTTAGGGGGTGAGAATATATAGGATACATACAAACAAAACTAGAAAGGTTCTCAGGATGTGTCAAGAAAAGCCATAGAACTGTTACAGAAACCTCAGCTCTCAGTAATAACTGCTGTTTAAGTTCTTGTAATTTTCAGACATGAATTGGTAATATCAGACTATGTTTTTGTGTTGCACTAGGCTCCTGATGTACAGCCTAATACAAAGCGAAGAATTTCTACCATGCCAGAACCAGTAGATGAAGAAACCTTAATACGGATTGCCACAGAAACATTTGTGAAAGAACTTGGACTTGAAGATGACACTGTACTTGGAGGAAAGGTGGAAATCCGTGAGGTACCCACTGGAACATACCTTATGAAAGAAGAATCCCACAAAGTAAGGTTGAAGTGTTACTTTCATTCAACATGAGGAAATTAATTTGTTGTGTCCATGACTGTGTTATGTTTAACATGTGGTTCAGAATGTCATAAAAAATCATAATTGTTTAAATATCTGGTAACAACAAAAACAAAATTAAAATTAAGATGAATTCAGAAATGCCTACTATACAATTGAGAAATTGTTCTCCTGTCTATATGAATATGTGGGGAATACTAGAGCTTTTCAGAGAATGGTTATTTTCACAGGGATTGTGGCCCCCAAAATCCCTTGACCTCACTTTACAAAATTTATCTTTATGTGGCCATTCTCAAATACTTTCGGTGAACTTTCATTTAATCTGTTATAATCATTTGAATGCTGAAATAAAAAAAGTTTAACATTGATTGGAATGATATAAATTGGGCATTAAATGAGAGAAAACAGTTACCATTGTATATAATGTTTAAGCATTGTGAAAGGGAAGGACACTTACCAGACTGGCATTTTGTATTTAATGTTGTTTTTTTTGCAGGGGGGCCTTTGCTTTGATAACTTCTCTTTCTTACTGTTATTATTAAACCTGTAATTTTAATTGAGTGCTGTAAAATATTATTTAAATAAAACGTGTTTTTGAATATGCATTTGCAGGATGTAGCTTTAATTTACGTGTTGTCTGGGACACTCGTTGTCTCTCAGAAGATAGCAGATACTGGCCAAGAAGTAACAATGTTTGTTGCCCATCCTGGGGAAATTGTGGGTGGTTTAGCTGTCCTCACTGGAGAACCAAGTTTCTTTTCTATTAGAGCAAAACATGCATCAAGAATAGCTATGATTTCCAAGACTACATTCTATAGGTATGTTCAGTAAATGTATGCCTATACAGCTGATGTGTTTGTGTGTGCAGCATGAAAATATAAGTTTATTTCCATTTTAATATTATGATCCCATCTGCACTTTGGGTGTCTCTTTAAATTTTCCAATCAGAATTTTGTACACATTTAGCATGTCACCAGTGCATGGTGCATGTCCTACCTATCATCCTGGATTTGTTTACACTAATAAAATTTGTGAAATTATTATATAGGCTAAGTGGGAAAGTCTGAGACATCTACAACTGAATGTACTTTTCAGTTTATTCTGTGATGTTCATCAGTGTCTTGTAGTTCATAAGCCCATAGAACCTGATGAAAAACAATTTGTGTAAGAAACAGAATACGAGGCGCGTCCACAAAGTAAGTTTCCCACTCGTCCCACAGCTAGCAAACCTTATATTGTGCGAAGCGACTGTGCGTACGTGATAGAGCAATGACATAGCATGGCTCATGCACTAACGGTACTTCCCGCGTTCTCACAGTAGCATCGTTGCAGCTGTTGAAGATGGAGGTTCTTATTCCAGCTCCCGCCGACTGTGAAGTGCGGTCAGTGATAAAGTTTTTGAATGCACAGAGCATAGCGCCGATCGAAATTCATCGTCAGCTGTGCCGGGTCTATGGGCCTAACGTCATGAGCAAGCAGATGGTGCGTCGCTGGTGCAGACAATTTTCAGCGGTGGCGAATATGTTGAAAAATAGCTGGACACTTGCTGTATCTGTTGCAATAAATATTTCCATGAAATTGTGTTTTGTTTCTGTAAACGGCCCCAGGGAAACTTACTTTGTGGACGAGCCTCGTATATACAGCTTGTGAAAAGAGTATAATTTTTAAAATTAAGCATTCTTATCTTGTTCCAGTGTTACCACATTTATATATTTTAGTATATATTTTATATGAGATTTGAGATATTTTTATAAGACTTGTGACTTTTTGATCTCCTTGTATATTATATTGTTTTTGATAATCATGCATTTTGACATTTTGTGCTTCTTCTTTGCAGCATTATGCGAGACAGGCCACAGGTAGTATTGCACATAGCTCACACAGTTGTAAGAAGGTTGTCACCATTTGTGCGTCAAGTTGACTTTGCTCTGGACTGGGTGTTTGTCGAAAGTGGACGAGCTGTTTATAGGTAAGTAACTGCTAGTCCTGACATCACGGAATACCAAGTGAGAATTATTACCAGACTGCAAATTTATTGTACCTTTTTAGTGTGTATTAGTTAGCTTGATGGTAATTTCTGTCTTGCCTATATGATTATTGCATGAAACATCTACTTCATGCAAGTTTGCATAAGCAGTAAGATGTCATGCTTGTGTTCAGGAAGTGCCCAGTTTGTCTTCAGTGGAACACTGGCTGTATACATTGAACTTTTCTGTATCCATGGAGACTTGATTGCTGGATAATATTAAAATCTCCCCCCCCCCCCCCCCCCCC